GCTGAGCCATCTCTCCAGCCCCCTGATTGTTTTTTAAATTGTAACTTTTGAAGTTGCCTGCACCAAGCCAGTCATGTCCCATAAAGGCTTTGGAGTCCTTCTTACTTTCTTATTCTTTGTTGCCCCCTGCCACGAATCACCCAACTCCCATGGTTTCTCAAAGGCCAAGTTATCCTTTGGTGTCGCCTTCCCTGAATGACTGGTCAGGATCTTGTGCCTTTGTGGTAATGACCCCAATATATGGGCTCCTTGGGGGACATACTGTATTTCTGAATTTGTAATGTCCCAAGTTGCATAAAAAGTCAGCCGACCTGTGGCCCAGGTATCACAGAATACTCCTGCAAGGTTTGGGGCAGTGGCCTCCGGTCACCCAGCCTGTAACTGTCTCTCATCTGTTCCGGGAGCATCTGTCACTAAACGAGTTTGCATTATACTTAGAAAAAAATGTTGCAGTTACCAGAGCCTCTTGGAGCTTGGTGTCACAATAAGCTTTTGTGTGTCTGTCTGCAGTGGCCTATGTCCCCTGCCTATCATTCCTGCTGGATGCCAGGTGTCCTAAGGCCGGGTGGGGTCTCCTTCTCTGTTCCGTCCCCACCATGGCATCAGGCATGAGGCTGGTGCTTGTTAGGAACTGGCTGGGTGATTATTCCCAGCGCCTGATAATGATGATAAAATAATTAGCACTAACATGGCCTGTCCTTGATAGACCTACTATGTGTGCCTCTTAAAACCATTCAGTCACTCTCAGGGGATTTGTCACTGCTATTTCTCTTTTACTGGAGAAACCCAGGGCAGCAGTAGAACCCAGGCGTGTGTGGCTCTGAGTCACGCGTTCTTAAACACTGTCACGGAAGCCCTTGGCTTCATCCAGAGGCCCTGTAGAGAGCACACCTCTCAGGCTGAGCCCTGGGGTTGGTGTCATCTTCCCTCTGTTCTCACCCTCTGGGGGATCATTGTACCATCACAGCCCGGGAGACCCCTCAGCCCCCAAAGGAGGGCTGCTTCCTTTCCAGCCCTGTGGCCGGCAGCCTTTGCAGGCCTGGCCCTCTTGCTGGAAGGCCTGTTCCATCGCTGGGTGCTGGCTGCCCCTTGTGGCAGTCATCCTCCTGCCGCCCTCACCCAGCGCTCTGACAGCTGGCTCTGGACCTCTCCACTCCTCCTCCACTGTCAACAGCGAACACCAGAGCGGTCAGTGTCATCTCAAGGCCTCGAGTTTGGGGCACCATCTCCATGCCTCTGTGTCCCTTTTTCCCTCAACCCCAGTTGTGCTAAGCCACTCTAACCTCTCCTATCATCCTGCAAGTGGCCTCAGGCCTGACACAGGGACACCCTCGTCAGGACGCTCCCCTGCAGTCAGCTGCATGGGGCTGGACGCTTCCCACATCAGAACACACAGTCCCGCCTCGCTCCTGACACACCAGTGCCCGTGCTCCTGGGATCTTCCAGGACAGGCCTTGGACACTTGTTCCCACCCAGGGCCCATGCACCCTAGGGGGTGAACCACGGGCAGAGGCAAGCACAGACCTGGAGTAGCCATTGATGATCCTCCCGGACACCACCTTCCGGAATGGCTCCCAGTGCTTGGGGTCTCCTTCTACTGGTGCACCCAGCAGCACCACATCCTCGATGATCCCTTGGCAACCTGGAGAGAGACCCCAGAAAAGGCCATCAGTGTCCCTGGCTGCAGTGGCAGCTGTGAGGGAGAGGAATTCACTCATACCACCTGTACACGTGCGCACACACATGCAAACTCACACATGCACGTTCAGTAACAGGGCTTCTGTATTCTGTGCCTGGGCCCTGGGTCAAGCCCTCTTGTGCCTGATCTATCCCTGCAAAGCATCATGGCCACTATTTTAGGGTTAAAAGAAACCCAAGGCACAGATGGAGCAGGGGACACAGCCCGAGTTGGAGCCAGGTCTCCTCTCACCCGTCCCCAAAGCTCGCCCCCGCTGTGCACATGGATGGGGTGTCCTCCTCTAGAGACACCAAGGGGCACTGCGTCATCCCAGGTGGGAGCCACGGCCCCCTTCCTCTGCCCATGGGCTCCTGGGGTCTGGAGGAAATACGGAGCAGCAGCATGGGGGTGGGGGTGTGCTGGTCTAGTGATTCAGGGACATTCTAGGCCAGGGTTATTCAAAGTGCCACCTGTGTGTCCTCCAGGCCCAGGAGCAGAAGCATTGGGTCTCAAAGCAGACCGGAAGCTGAACGCCTGTGGATCAGTCTGAGAAATGCCTTGCCACACAGTCACAAGGTGCATGACCCCTCACCATGACACCATCTCCCCTGCTTTCTCTTCTTGCCACGCAGCATCTGTTCATCTTCTATCTGTTCCTCTCACACCAAGGCAGCCGAGAGCAAGCCTTCCAGCTGCCTTTTCACAGCTGAGTGCCAGGCTTAGAGCTGCAGCCGGCACACACTGGGCACCTGATAAGGAGCCAGATGGAGCAGTGAACGGCGAGTATCGAAACTGCTGTCCACCGGGAAAGCCAGTGGATGGGCTTTGACACGGGGTTGAAAGCCCAGCTTTGCCTCTTCTGAGCTCTTCTTGAGCCAAATGATTTAACTTCTTACAAGAGGGCAGTGATAAAGAACCTGGGCCTGGGGTCTATGAGGACTAGGTCACAGTGCAGGGAAGAAGCCACGTAGTGACCACAGAAGATGCCACCAAGCCCTCACTCTGTGCTTCCTATGGAAGACCAGTTCCTGCACATCCGGAGGAGCCGCACACTCAGCTGGTCCCTGGAAACCGCATCCTGGTAACGCAGCTTTGCTTGCTCTTTTGCTGAGTGACCTGGGGAAGCTTTTCTTTGGGCCCTATTCTCTGATCAGAGTTTTAAGCTATTAACCTTGGCCCACAGCTGCTGTTACCTGGGCTTCTGGGCCAGAGGCTTTGAATGGAAGGTTCCCGGTGCATGAGAATTTGGGAATCCCCGAAGAGCCACGCTTTCTGACGGCTCCTTGTCTCTGAGGTTAGAAGCATTGGTGGTACAGAGCTGACCTCACTCCTTTTGCTTCCAGGAAGAGGATGCTGTGGCAGAGGGCTGAATTCTCCCGTCTGCTGGTATTTGGGCTCAGAGCCCCCCACCCCCGCGAGGGGCTGCACGTGGTTATGCTGCCAGCAAGACCAACAGGGCTCTGAGAGATCAAGATGTCACTGCAGCCACTTTCTCTCGGCAGATGAAGAAATGGACTCAGAGGGGAGATGGGGCTTGCCCGGCTCATGCAGGCAGAGAGAACCAAGCTGAGACCACACGAGGCTACCCTGAAAGCCACCAGGTCCCTGCAGCCAATCTCTCTGCTGTTACAATATCCACAAGCATAGGGACCACGTGTGGGTGATGGCTGTTCACAGATCGCTGGATGGGGGTGTATTCCGGGCAACCACCAGGCCAGCAGCTGGTTCTGGGGCTCAGGAGACCTGTGTGTCCTGTGCAGTCCAGCTCACCGGAGAGCCACTTCTCAGCCCTGGTGCTGCTGCGGGAGGGCTGGGCCCCCTGGTGGTCAGCAGCGCTAACAGGTGAATTTTTGAGCAAAAAGCCGGCGACCTTGAATGGAGCCTTGCAGTTGAACCTCATAAAATAGTCCTGCCAGCGAGCAGGGAACTGAGCCAGGGGCGGGAGCTGGGAGCTGAGCTGAGAATACATATTCTCTTCTTCGAGGTTGTTGGGCAGCTGCCTTTCTGTTCATCTCTAGAATGCTGCCAGCTCAGCTGCACGAGGCGAGGGGGCTTTGCTGGCTGCGTGGTTGCAAGCTCAGACGCAGACCACGTGGCAGCCACGCAGCCACGCAGCCACGCAGGGATGCTAGTTTAGGCTTAGGTCCTCAGCAGGCGCCGCCTCAACCCCACCTCAGAGAGCACTGTGCCCAGGGTCAGAGCCCTGGCTCCCACACATCTAGGAACAGAGGGTGAGGAGAAAATCGGCCTTTGGAAAAGATGACACGGACTGCTACAGCAGCTGCTGAGAGGGAAAAACTCAATCTGATCCACTGCTTGGTCCTAAGCCTTATAATATCAACCATTTCAGCCTTCTAGACAATGCACAGAAAACCCTCCCACCGGTGCCGTGGTCAGTGGTGCCTCACAGGCCCCTGCCGCGGGGCCCACGAGCTATGGATCATGCGCATAACTAACAGAAGAACCGGCCACCCGTCTGCTGTAGGGGCGCTGCGTTTGCCAAAACACATTTGGCTTCATCCCCGCGGCTGCCATCAGCTTTGCCGCTTGTGAATTTTTAAGCTATTAACCTTGGCCCACCGCTTTATAAATATTCAGAGTTTCATGCAGAAGAGGGTGGCGATCATCTTCCAGTCTGGGGGTTGGAGACACATGCAGCCTCCGTGCCTGGATCCCCCATCTTTGAAACAGCTCTCTGGATCTTATTAACATCTGCTTTTACCGTTGGAGCTGGCAGCCTTTCATCCTGTTATAACTTTAGCATTAAGGAGGAGGCGTTAAACCTCTGGGAGTTAAAAAAAAAAGAAGGCTTATCAGCCCTGTCTTTACCCCTCCACCCTCTGGACTCCCTGTCATCCCCATGTCGGTAAAACATGATGCTTTCCAATCTCTCTGTCTGTCGCTCGCTGTCCCCTAGCATTGGACATGGAGCCCTGGGCCTTTGGAGCCCTTTTGCATTTTCTGTTTTGAGACAGGGTCTCACTAAAGCGCTCAGGCTGGGCTGTAACTGTCAATTCTCTTGCCTCCGCCTCCCAGCGTGCTGGGATTGTAGATGTGCGCTACCGCGTGCTTACCTCTTCATTTTAGTCCTTACACGGGATCCACAGCAATCCATTTACAATGTGAGTCATGGACGTGGGGTGTTGGAAAGGCGCTAACAGTGAGTGTGGTGATGGCGACACGACTCAGTACATTTACTAAAAGTCACTGAATTACGCACTTAGAATGGACCGATCTTGTGGTAAGCTCGTTACGCCCCTCCGAGGAGCGGGATCGTGTCGCCTGTGCTTGGATCCTCGCGTGGAGTCCAAGTTAAGGCCACCGTGATGGCCTGGGAAGCCCTACAGGACTTCGTGGCTACTCCCCTCATTCACTCTGCTCCTCTGGCACTGGCTTTGGTGCCCCAGAACGTGCCACCCCTCCGCCCTGCGGTTCCGTCCTGCTGCGAGCTCTGCCTGGACACCTGCTGGCTTCCTTCCCTCCCCCCAGCTCTGCCTCCCTGCGCCCCGCAAAGTCAGCTCAGGGCAACTTCCTGCCCTTATGGGTACCCCAGCTCCTTCTCTGTTTTTCTTTACTCCACTGCACCCACGGGTCGCTATTTGATGCTGCTTGTCTTCTCTTTAAAGTCTTACAGGTGGATGTTAAGCTCTGCAGGGCTGGAATTATCACCTTTGGGTTTACCACTGAATCCCCAGTGCAGGCATGGAGATTAGCACGCAATTAGCATTTGAGGGATGAAAGAAAGAAAGAAAGAAAGAAAGGAGACTCCATAATGCGAAGCCTTCATGCTGAGAATACATACAAGGTGTGTGTGGGGGGTCTTTTCCTGTTGCTCTCACCTCCTGGCGCAAGTTCTTCCTGGCAGCCATGGCTGGGGGCGAGGCTCTCTGAAGGCTGGTAAACGCCAATGAAGAGTGCTAACTCTGCTGCCAGTACCCAGAACAGAATTTAACCACCTTCGGCAGCCCCTCAGCGCTCATTTCTAAAGCTCTGTTCTGGGGCAGTCACCCTCCTCTGAAAGACAGCAGCAGCCGTTAGGAAATGAAGAGTCCTGAAAGCCAACACGATCCTGTCCTCTGCCCCAGCCTCAGGCAGAGAATGCAAAGGCTCACGGAGCCCTGTAGCGAGCACCTGAACCGCACTGCAGAGTGCGGCTTAGCCCATGCGAAGAGGAGGCTCAGGGTCCCCCAGCCTCTCGGCGGGTGTGCGACGCAGAGTGACAAGAAGGCCTGAGAAGCCATCTGCACACCAACCCGACAGCCAGCCAGATGCCCCAAGCATTTCAGATAAAGGATATTCAACCTGCATCTCCATTTTATAAATAAGAAAGCTGAGGCACCAAGTTCTTAAAGACCTGACCTCATGGGCCAGGGAGACAGCTCAGTGGCATAAGTGCCTGACTGACCCACGCAGCAGGGTCCTGAGTTCGATCCCCGGTACCGCAAAAAAAAAAAAAAAGAGCTGACCTCAGTTAATACAGCAGCATAACCCAGATTTAAATCCGCACCTCTCCTAGACCAAATGCTAAACCACTTCCACTGCGCTGGTGGTTCCTGGGCTTTCTGAGGACAGGGCCCCTTCCCAATGGCAAGCATTTTGAGACTATACATACAAGCAGTCTCGCTGCAATTTTGACTGATTGATGGAGAAAATGTAGCTGGTGGAGTGCCTGACTGACGGATGCAAGGCCCTGGGTTCCATCCACAGCACTAGGGACAAAGGGAGGAAAGAAAGAGGAGAGGAGAGGAGAGGAGAGGGAAGGGAAGATGGAACAGATGTAAGATGTAATAGAGGGCTGGGGGGGGGCTGGGGAGGTGGCTCAGTAAGATAAGCGCTTGACTGGCAAATGCAAGGATCTGAGTTCAATCCCCGGTTC